ATCTGTAGATAAAAATTCAACGTCATTTTCAATTTTGCCAGACCTATGCAAGGGGGGGGGAAGAGGAGGAGGAGAAGGAGGAGGAGGAGGGGGAGGAGGAGGTGGTGGTTTGAAAGATCAGAGGTTATCTGGACCTCAACCCTGTCATCACAATATTTCAGAGTCAGGCAGGGCAATTCAACAATGAAAGTTTCATCTCTTTTCAGCAACATCTGTTTTGCTAGGAAGATCTTAATCTGTTGTAGCAAACATAACAATTTTTTGACCAGGGCAACTTAAACATTCAGCTATTTAAAAAGGCTAACTTCAAAACTGAGACATGAGTAGCAAAGGCTTTGTTTAATATCTACATGGTTTTGTTTGGGTTTTGTTGATATTTCCCTGCAATATTTACAACAAAGGAAGCTTTGGGACAATGTCCAAGAATGATGGGAAGAATGAAAAGTACATGAAAAGAGCTTTCTTGGCCTTGGGAAAGAATCCTAGTCCTACTGTATTTGTATTATAGTTTGAGTGTTGAGGGTTTTTTTACATCTGTTGGCAAAACAGAGCAGCAAACAGGAATTGGAACTAAAGCGCTACCATAAGTAGAACCAATTATTACTAGCTTCTTTACATCTTCCTTTCTTTGAAGATTGTGGAGTTAATAAAATAAAATAATAAAAAATAAAATAAAAATAATAAAATAAAATTATAATTAAAGAACTATAGTTAGTAATTTAGAACAGTAGTATTTTTCAACTTTGGCATCTTTAAGATACGTGAACTTCAACTTCCAGAATTCTTCCAGCCAGTATGCAAGTATTGAAAAACACTGATTAAAAGAAGTGCCACACTGTCCTAATCATTATAAAAAGGATAGGTAATTTTGTTGGATAATTAGCACCATCAGGTTTTGAACCAGGAATTCTACCATAAGTTTTCAGAAGCATAACTTATAGGGTTTCAATATGACAATAAAAATGTTTCAAAAAAGAAGTGTCCACTGGGAAAGTTAAAAGAAAACCAAGATCATGCTAATGATGTGCAATCAAAGTCTTCCCCTTTTTGACATGCATGTGTTGACATTCCACACATATAAGGGCTGGAGCTTTATTAAGGGGTGTCAAACTCAATTTCATTGAGGGGCGTATCAGCATTGCAGTTGCCATCTGGGGGCCAGGTGGGTGTGGCCAGGATGGGTGTGGTCTACTGAGTGGACATGGATGGAGTGAGTGTGGCCTAGTGGGTGGGTGTGGCCAGCTCTACATTGTTCGCATCAAGGGTGCTTGTGGGGGCCCGGGCAGGAGTGGGACAGATCTGAGGGTCTCTGGCAGAAGGGGGTGGGACCAGGGCAAGTGCCAAGGCATGGTCCACTGGAGGAGCCTCGCTGTTCCTCTCAGTCCATGCGGGGGAGCTGGATGATGGCACGGGCTGCTGGGAGCCCTGGACAGCAGAGGTCCAATGCCCTCTCGGTGCTGTGAGGAGAGCACCCCGCTGCCTGCCGAAACTCCTCCCCTGGAGCCAATCAAGCCGGATATGTGAAGTAGGCGAGGGCCATTTGCTGACCACTTCCAGGCGATGGTGCATTTCTTCATTCCTCACAAAGAGTGACCCTCCCCAGCATGTACCCAGGGTGTGGGGGTGATGTGGCAGCGGTTGGTTCTTCGCTGTTTCCAGATGGCCTTGTGGAACTAAGACTGAATGTGTTTCAGCATAGATGGCCACCACAAAATTGTACATTGGCTCCCAGCCGGCCTGGGCCAGGGCCAAGGCAGAGGGAGGCCATTCTCTCAGTTTCCACGATGGCTTTGCGGGCCACATGAAACCACTTTGCGGGCCGCATCGGCCCCCGGGCCTTGTGTTTGACATGTCTGAAATACATGGTTGGAACCACCATTTTAGTTTTCTTGATATTTCTTGCAGAATGTCTATGGAGATTCTCAGTCATCCAGATCATGGTTGTCCCAAAGGTGCTTTTTTCATGAGGCAACTGGACTTTCTTGTTTTTTTCTTTGAAGACATTTCACTTCTCATCCAAGAAGCTTCTTCAGCTCTGACTGGATGGTGGGTAATGACAGGATTTATACTCCTTGCAGACAGCTGGTCATTTGCATTCTTTTCACAGGTTGCTAAGCCTCCTGCCATTCCCCACCATCCAGTCAGAACTGAAGAAGTTTCTTGGATGAGAAGTGAAACATCTTCAAAGAAAAAACAAGAAAGTCCAGTTGCTTCATGAAAAAAAGCACCTTTAGGATAGCTCTTATAGAGGTTGCTGGCTTCAAATCATCTGGAGCATATATATTTTGTTTAAAGAATTTCATAATATAGTACCTATCTGCAATTCTTTAAATAAACCGTATATTTTCCTGAGATCACCAGATAGAGCTTAAGTATCAGAGCAGTGTAAACAAAGACCTTCAAAAAAAACTTCTAGTAAGATATGTTTTGTCCTTCTCTCTATCTCTCCCTCCTTCCCTCCCTCCCTCCCTCTCTTCTCCCTATCCTTTTTTCCATGTATATCCTTTTTACTTTGTTAAGACTGAAGCAGAGACTTGTTTGAAATAATTTGTAAGTAGCTATGGAAGTTTTTCTTGGCTAATGTTTAGAGTAAGATTCTAAAAAATAGCCAAAATGGGCAAAATCACCTTGGAAAGGTATTTGAAAGAAAGCAGATATCTGGAAGAGAAGGATTATATAACAGTCAGTTGAAATAAAACTTCCTAGAACACAGACAGGGATGAGTTATTCACAAGAATAAAAGCAATTTTAATCCAGTAAAATCATTCTTGATCATAAGACTAAGCTAAGATAAACAACTGTAATATCATGCATGGAAGAAAGATGTATGTTATTAAAACTTTTCTTTTGGGCAAGTAAATACTTCTCAAAATTCAGACCTGGCTTTGATTTTTTCAAGAGCTCTAAATAGACATGTACTATTTTTTTCCTGGCTCCATGGTTTGTTTCCACATAGATTTTAAAATAAATTTGGCAAAAACCCAAAGTTATCAAAAATAATTTGCTTTCAATTCAAAGACAAATTCAAGAACACATTTAAAAACAGATCTTTTTAGCATTTCTAAAAGTGAGATAGACTAATATGCTGAACATTCTAACACTATTCAAAACATATATATTTAAAACATATACATACATTTAAAATTTATGTATATGTTTTAAATATTTAAAATACAGTATAAGGCACACAAACAAACATTTAACATTAAATAGTCTATATTAAGTCATAAATCTAGATTAATCGAATAAATGGTTTACGTTATCTAAAAGAAATGCAACTGTAAAGGAGTCTCTAAAAGGAAATTTATAAACAGTATCCTTTAAGTTTTCAAAATAACAGTTTCCACAATTTTTTATATTTAATAAATGCATTTTACTTACAAATCAGGAAAGAAAACCAACGAGGAAGTCATATCTCCTCAATTCATACTCCAAATATCTTTCACTTCTTTTCATGTTTCCTACATGGCTCACAGTATGCTTTTTTCTATCTTAGGGTGACTCAGAGTTACAGAAAAAAAAAAAAATAGAAGGACTTTTGGGTGTAAGGGGTTTGCCTTCTTAGGAACAAGCTGAAATAAACCTGCTGAAATAAAATTATTAGTGACTTCAAATTAAAAAGTTTTAACACAAAGGTTTTCAAAGAACAGTAGCAGATTTTAAATCAATAGCATATATTTAACATGAACTCATGGCAAAATCAATGGTATGTCTCAAATAAAAAGGCTCCTCGTTTGAGTTCCTTAAAGACAATTCAAAATTAGATTTTCATGAATAGATGATATGATTCAGATAAGATTGACATTTTCAGTATTAATATTTCCCATAACATTTTAAATTAAGCTATAGAAGAGATGGTCAAAAACATTACAGACATTTATCTGCAGACATTGACCAGTGAGTATTTCAGATTCTCAAAAAATATCATCTGAGGACCATTATTTGTTACTTTAATAAAGGCTGTTCAGTTATAATAAACTATCGCTTTTGCCATCAGATTGTTATATCATGCAAAAAAGTACAAGTCTAATGTTGAAAATCATCTTAATAGAGAAAAACAACTTTTGCAACATAATATTGTGATTGCTATGCAAAATGCTATGCAATTTGTATTTTCTCATTTCTGTAAAAAAAAGTCATTCACCTATTGAAGGTAAGGTTAATATATGTTGTTTAAATAGGGCATTTTTTTCAGAATAGGGCAAAAATCCAGAAAATTATAATGGTTTTTTTTTAATGTCAACAATATTCTTTTGATATCCTCTCCCCCCCACCCCCGGGCATTCTTCTTTTATTTTGGTATCAGCCACTGCAAATGTTGCAGATAGAAACAAAAGCCAGCAAATTTCCTGGACCTAAGAAAAACTTCAATTGCAGCTCCAATCCCTTTTTAAAACACTCTTATAATGAACAAGTTATTGTTCATTTATGAAAATACAAAGATCAAGTACAAGGCCAACCACTTTGAGACAAATGTCTTGAACTTGAAATATTTAAATAAATTATACTATTTCCTCTAGCTTTTTGAAGGATTTATCTCTTTGTTTTTTCAAGCATTGATATTCATGTGCACTTGCTAATTTTTGCTTAAAAGATATGAGTGATGATGAGGAGACGGTGAGTCATGCAATAGCCTTTTGGTATTGTTGAAGTAGTTCTTAATTTTAGTGAAAAATGGATTAATATGTACTTATCACTAAATAATAACAAACCCCTTGAGAATTCTAAGAATAATCTGAACTATGCTGCTGAATGAACCATAAAAAATTCCTATACTCACTATGAAGTAGGAATGTTCTTTTTAAAACTAATTTACCCATAGAGGTTCAGTATAATGAAATTCCATAGACATCCTACAGTCTATCTGTTAAAGTATTATTTTTAATGTTTGAAAAATTAAACACTTTAAAACTGTTTTTTTTTTAAAAAAAAACCCATCTGTTGTTGGGGTGTGTGTGTCTCTCTCATGTGTATTATCTATTTAAAAACCAGACACAATAAAAACTTACTTTAAATTTTTATTTACCTCAAAATATATGCACTTAGCACCTCAGATTTGATTTCAGCATTTTTTTTCAAGTGAAACTTTTAAATTACAAACAGTAGGCACAGCAGTAATATTTAAAACTGTTCCCTCAAAAAATAAAGGCAAATCAAAAACCTGATTTATTTATTTGCTTATTTTTAAGAACTTCAGCTTTTTGGTGTCCTGATACAACATTCAAGTAGTTTTTATGCAAAAGTAAAGAATTTGGTTTCTGAGGTTACTTGGTATTCTAAAGTTTTCTCAAAATGAGGGCTTCTATTGTCAAGGCTGGAGTTTGTGCAAAAAGTTTGTTTAGAAAATCTCAGTCCAATCAAAGAGTAGATGGTAAGCAAAGATGCTTTCAAGTCAAGATTTTTTTTTCTTTTAAGGCACTTAAAAGAGTCTGTGAGTAAACCAGGCACAACTTTGGGGCCAATGCTTTGCCTTCATCTATAGTGAACTTGATCCTAAGCACAATATGAACAATTATCCAATTTTTTCTTTTAAAAAAATCAAGATGTGCAGCTTGCTATTTATGCAATTACCAAATGGAAAAGCCATATTAACACTTTTACAGAGTGATCATATCAAGGACTTTCCACTCCTTTAAAACAGGAAGAGAAGTAAATTATTTTTATTTTATTTTATTTGCATCTCAAGGCTCAAAGCAGATGCTTATAAGTATTTGTTTCCCTCTAAATCTTAGCCCAAAATAAAGCAGCCATCTTGAAGAAGCTTCTTTTGTCACTGTCTTCTGGGACAAAATTTTTAAATAAAAGTTTGTTGTACGTTGTCTCTGAATGGCCAGGAAAATAAACTTAAGGGTCAATAAATGATACTGCAATATATCTTGTTCCTTTTAAAATTGGAAGTCCTTCATGTAAATGAGTAAGTCTTCCTGGATGCATGAAACTCCATCCTTTTCTAGGTGATTCGATTGAGCAGTTGTATCTCAGAAATTTACATCCACCTCCCTATAAGAAGTAAATCAGAAATATCATCTTAAAGTCTTTATGAAATCCCACAAGGTCCTCTCTAGGTAAAATGTTTTGAATGACATAACAATGATTGACATTACCATCCCATTCTCAAAAGTATATTATTTTGGAGCATCTGTAAATTTGGTTGAAAGATAGCAATAGCAGTAGCACTTAGATTTATATACCACTCCATAGTGTTTTACAGCACTCTCTGAACAGTTTACAATGTCAGCACTCTAACGATCCATGATATTTGCATTTTCCTTTCATGAAAATATGATAAACAGACTTTATCTGATATTGTTATTTTCTTGACTTACAACTCCAATTCTCTCCCCCTCCCCCAGACAAACTAGTTGATACTCAGGTTGGAAAAGAGATTTAACTACAACTGCAATGAAGTTTGACATATATAAGGGAGACCCTGCAGTTACATCCAACATACAGGGTGAGTAAGAGTCAGTCATTAACAATCAGTTTATTTTCTTTAGAGTTAAAATTAGGAGGTACCGCCTTTTGACCCCCAAAAGAAAGCAGTTGCATACACAAGAATGAAATGGCTAAAGGTGTTCACTTTGATATCCCACATGATACTAAGCTAAGTGAAAAAGGAACTATGAGGAAAGCAGTCCATTTGGCCAAAACTACTTTTGGGAAGTTTTACCCATTTATTCCTTAAAATGCCACTTCAAGAAAATCAGACCCTATCAACAGTACTGTTTTCATACTGGACATCCTTATTAGCCATACAATGTATTACACATTTCAAGATTTAATATAATTATATGGTTGAACATTCAGGCTCTGTCCGTCAGTGTTTTACAAAGGCCTAGTACAGAACCAGCTGTTCTGACTGTTGGACCAGTTTCTTATGTTAATCTTCCAGCAGATGTCCTACAAATATTTGTGTGGAAATGAGCTAGAAGTTGAAAGAACAGCATCAGTTCTTGGATGCACTGCAAACTTACTTGAAAATCTTCTCCTGGTTTGTTAAGGGCAATGTTGATGGTAAATGTAGATGAGTCATGGTGAGGTCTGAGAGAGCGCTGTCGGTCAGTAGTATATTTCACAACAAAATTCAACAAGGCATGACCCTGGAGAATAAAATACATGAAGGATTTAAAAGGCATACTGTAAGTTGTCGTGAGGGGATTTATCAATTGTGGGTGCTCTTTCACTCTTCTGGCTTTCTAGAAGAGGGCCAAGACCTGGAAAGAGTGCCAAGTAGCATGGAAATCTAAGAGTGGGATGCAATCCTTGGGGTGGTTGCTGGCCTGTGTACACTACCTTTGCCTTTTTGAAATTCTGTACTTGTCAATTTTCAACTCTTTTTAAGTTACTTTTAATATTTTTAATTATGTTTCTTTCTAAGTTTTCTTTACTTATAAGCCACCCAGAGTCACCTAAATGAAGTGGGCAGACCAGAAATTAAATGGAGGAATGAATGAATAAATAAATAATAGCAGATTCAACCACACAGAGGATTATTATTTAATTTATATATCTATTAAGAAAAAAAACAATTTCACAATATGTTATTATCATTGCTTTTTTGCAGAAAAAAAGAATAGATAAATATAGAGGAGGCATGAGTAGGGCTCAAAATCACTGCAGTCCCACGTATCCAGTAAGAGAGAGAGACTGGGGAAAGGGAAACATGCCCAGTGATACCACTCTCTTCATATTTGGACTCCAAAACCTCAGAATAATTAAATAAGACACAAATCAAATTTTCCTTAAATATCAGCCACAAGTTATTAATAAATTAGCTCACATGAAAAATTAAGAGTTCAGCGTTAAATTTACGCAAGCCCAAAATTTAAGGGAGAACTTTTATAAAATGTTTTATAGATGGCACCTTGATCCACAAAAAATGTCTCGTATGTATCCTGATCTACAGCCTAAATGTTGGAGATGTGGAAGTCTGGATGCTACATATTATCATATTTGGTGGACGTGTAAAAATATAAAAGCTTTTTGGATTAAGATATGGTGGAATATTCAAAGAATTTTTAGAAGGAGGGTAAAGTTTCCCCACAATTGTTTTTATTAGGTATTGTTACAGATTGTGATACTAAAGATATCACATTGATGTTAAATTTAATCACAGCTGCAAGGTTGTTAGTAGCACAATGTTGGAAGAAGGAATCTCTGCCTACCTTGCAAGAGTGGCTTTTTAAAGTTTCTTATCTGGCGGAAATGGCAAAGATTTCGGCTTTCCTGAAGGATCAATCTCAAGAGAAGTATGTTGTGGTATGGAGGAAATGGATAGATTTTATACAACACAAGATGGATATTAAAAAATATTATTTAGCTTTTTAATAATTTATATTGAAAAGCCAATTTTTTTGAAAAGCCAAACTTTTTTCCCCTTTTTTTTCTTTCTTTCTTTTTATTATTATTTTCTTCTTTCCTCTTTTCTATTTTTCTTTTTATATATATATATATTACCTTTAATTATTTTATAACTTGTTTAAGTAATGTATTTAGATTTGTTTATAGTTTATTGTTGTTAATTATTTAGTAATTTGTTTAAGTAATGTATCTAGATTTATCTATATTTTACACTTTTCTTAAGATTCTTTGAAGAAATTCTAATTAAGCCTATATCCAGTTCTGGGATAGTCGGGGGAGGGAAGGGGAGGGTTGGGGAGGGATGGGGAAAATTGTTTTGTTTTTGTATTGTAAAATCTTATAAATTTTCAATAAAAAAAAAATTAAGAGTTCAGACTATGCTCTACTTGATTACTTTTTAAATTTTAACTTGCCTTTGTATAATAGCCAGCAAATACTTTTAGGGTTACAGGTGCTATGAATTCTCTGATAAAATGCAACCACACATTTTCCAGGCCGATTTGTTTCATGTGAATATCATCTGTTGGAACATTTTCATAGCCTCCAGAAATGCGGCTATCCTAAAACAAGACATAATAGTGTATTTTACGTAATATGTTTCACCTGTTATTAGTACAACTATAAAACAACATGGATCTTTGTAATTATTAACTGTTAATATACTCCAATATCTACTACTTTATAGAGATTATGGATATATAGAGAGTATAACTCAGTTTATGCAACCAAATGTTAATTGCTTTTTATATCAATTTTATTGTGCAATTTACAATGGAAGCAAAACAATTTTTCCTTCATCTTGATAGCTAATACATATATTTTTATTGTAAATCAGTAAGAGGGTTTGATAGCCAGTATAACAAGCCCAATACATTAAGTTCTAAATAAACCTTTATAGTTAAACTGTTAACTGCTTAAATAATTTTTAGAGTATTAATCAGCCATTTAATAAGTTCATTAATTTCCTTTAAAGGAAATATCTCTTTTTTATTAACTTTCACATTATAACCTTGGTGTTGCTATAAAAATTTAGCATGAATTTTATGAAGATTAATTAATTATAATTAATTAATCTTACTTATTAATTATACTTATTGTATAATAATATTGTATATGATTATACAATAAGTACCATAGCCTTGCAGAGTCAAAATGTCTCACTTAGTATTGTTTATAGAGACTATAAAACCTCCAAGAGAAGAAAAGAGAAAAGTTTTTCAACCAGGGATTAAACTTCGGAATTTTTCCATGCAAAACTGCTATTAAAATAGTTATGAATTATAATCATATATTCATGAATAACTATTAAACTTACAATTAAAAAATGCAGCCCACCTTAAAACACTGGACACGTGTCTGATCTTCCCCAATATCTCAGACATTGACAAAGTTTTTCCATTTATTTATTCACTGGCCTTTGTTTATGGGCTCCAGTAGTGAACCCATTGGCTGTTACTGGTATAAGAACCCAATAAGAATTCCCTAACATCATGCACTAACCACAATCTGCCTTAGCTATCATTTAACTTGATTTTACTTACCTTATATCAGAGTTATGAATTTTAAAGCTACTATTAAAACTAAAAATAAATTCTAAAAGTGTCCATGAAATGATTCTTACATGATGTTTTCCACCAGACCACTGGCCAAAGTGTTCCATTTCTTCTACTAATTCATTGCAGGCTGTTTCAGAAAATATGGGGAACCAAAACACATCTGGGCATGGCTATAAGTTAGAAATAAAATGCACTTACATTATAATGGATTTGGCATGCTATTTGACAAAGCAGACACTCATATTTTTCTTGACATCTCTGACTAGTAGAGAAGGGATTTATAGTTTACAATTATCTACCAGCTCTCTCTTGTAATTAGAACATATATGTCATTTCTTGTCCTTTAATTGGTGGATTTAATAAAATAATTTTGTGCAGATAATAGTATATAATGCACTAGACCAGCTATATAATTGCTCTTATTGAAATGTGTAATTATCCGGAAGGAAAGACCATTTCAGTGGTGACTTGGGTCTGCCTGCATGAAGTAGTTTCCTCTCACATGCCCACAAATATGCAGCCTTTCAGGCCTTCTTATATTTGAGCAAAATAAGTTTTTCTTCTCAAGAGTCTGAATTAAGTCTATGAGACCAGGAGTTCCACTCATCTGAACCAGGTTGGATCATTCTGAAATGTGGCCCTGGTGACTCTACATCTGAGCTGTGTAAATGTTTGGAAAGAGATTATTTACAACACGTGGGAATCCATATGAAACAATGGTCTCTGAAACACCAAAGCACTTTTCCTGGGTTTATGCAACTTTTTGTACATCTCCATATGCAAGTACAGGCACAGCCACTTCACCTTTTTATGCATGCTTTGAAAGGAAGGAGTTTTACATATCCTACTCTCAGTGCTGACTAAAAATGCTTCTAGGATGTGTGATTTTAATGCATATTACACATTAATTGCAGTGTTTGCTAAAGTTACCCTGCCTGAAATAAGTTCAGGGTAACTGAACTGAACTGGCTCTAGAGTGGGTAGCTTCAGCCAGCACTTCTCTGACTACTGCAGCATTTTCTTAAGTTGCCTAGCATGGCAACTTATACATTAGTTGGTGCTGCCCTTGGGTCTTCTTCCGCAAGAAAAGTTCTGTAGGAGGAAAGCTGATAATGAGTGTGGATCAGTGCAAAGCAACATGGCTGCTTGTTAGTTAGAAAAAAGAGGGAAGAACCTGGGAGCTTCTTAATTAAAAGCAAGAGGGACATGAAATTTTGTAGGTTAGTTTTGAAGAAGGCCTTTGCTCAATGTTTGTTTATTTGCTGCCAAAGCAAAGCTCCCCTTCAAGTGTGTATAGTCCTACCATGTTAGAAAACAATAACATCTCTTATATAAGCTAACAGTGTGATATTTTTCTAGCCTTAGGATCAGATTGTCTTGTTTGCTTACAGTAAACTGAACGGTAACATAACTGTGGAGTCCTTGGTGCTCTCCTTGTTTGGTTGCAGAACAAACATTAGCAGAAATGTGATTTCTGCTTTATTTTGGAATCAGAAGGAAGGTAACATATACATTATGTTCCCTAAATTCAGACCAACTATACTTTTGTAATTGTAGCTCCTATCAAATGACAAAATGTTTCCATTTGGTTTCCCAGAAACATGTGGTTGCATTTCCAACAAACCAGAGCATACCAGGGAATGAACTGCTCTTCTTGAAGCTTTCTATCTCATCAGATGTCACCACAGAGAGAGGGGGGGAGGAAGGGAGGGAGGGAGGGAGGGAGAAAGAGAGAAGAGAGAGAAAGAGAGAGAGAGAGAGAAAGAGAGAGAGAGGTTGGATGGGGCTTGATATGAGATTTAGAAGACTAGTTTTGGGAAATGGAGACAGGATTATGAATTAAAGTTTTCTTAAAGTTTTCCCTAAAGACAACTCTTTTCAAAAAGTTTTGTAAGAAGAAAAACCACATAACAATGACTATATAAAAGTCTCAAGAGATACTCTTTAAACATCGGTAAATTAATAATACCAACTCCATATTAAACATTTAGAACAGCAGAACTCTTAATCATGCATTAAAAATCACATTGCAATATTTTCCTTGAGGAGAATTTCTAATTACCTGTTCTACTATATTTTCAGTAAAAATTTTCGAATAGTTGGGATTTATGTAAGTCTCCTTCCAATCCTTGAAAAAAGGATAAAACATGAATTATTTTTAATGTTTTTCAATGCTCAAAGCATTCAGATAATTTTTCATATTGAATATGGATGGTCAGTATAATATACACAAAAGATGATTTCACACACACACACACACACACACACACACACAAACACAGTCTGAAAACAATTTCAATTCATAATTCAATACATACCACAGGATTTTCAAAGATTTGCCAAAGGTCATTGTTGTAGTGAGAAGTATTGTAGTTAGCAGTTGATACAAGTCTCCCAAATTCATGTCTGTTAGTGAGGTACATAAATATCCCCTATTATTAGGGAGCAGGGAAAAATATGTTAGTGATTATATATAATAATTTAAAATATATAAAAAACTATGTTACATATGAATCAAGATCACTGAAATCAATGGGACCCAAACTATAATTTAACTGATCAGTGTTCACAAGATTATTTTGTATTTTTCCCTTTGATCACTCTTTTACTTCTTCAAAATTTGCTAACCAAAGGGCTGCCCATCAGCTTCTTTAAATCAGCACAACTTATTTGATGGGAATTAAATGGGTTACACTGAAAATTGACTGTCCTTAGGAAATGAGCAAGCATGGATTCTAACATGTGTACAACCTTAGTTCTCTCTGTCATATGTAGCATGTATTTGCAATGAAAAACAATAATAGTTTGTTGTATCCTCCTGTTACAAAAATACACCGCACCACTGTCCAGTTTTATGTTCCATTACTTTTGATGGATTGCATTGCCATAGAACTGGAGAAATGCAGTGGTAACACATGCTTCTAACACAGGTGTATTTAAAAATATGAGATTATGTCTCATAGAAAATGAAAAAAAAAATACTACAAGCATTCTTTGTTATTATAGCACAAAAGAGCTGCAATTATATCACAAGATTCAGCAGGAAACCTGCTATGCAAGAACAGGTTTTCAGGATCAAAACTGATCAAAAATAATTGGGTAATTTAATTTCAACATAAACAACAATAATAATAAATAATACTCAATTATAAATATAAAAAAAACCTATTTCTTCTCTGGTAACTACTTGAATTTTATTTTGAATTTTATATTGTGCATACATTTAAGTTTGTGGCAATTTTAAGTTAACATCTTATCACTGTATGGGCTAAAAATAAGAATCACTCTCATGCAATATGGTGTAGTTTCATATTCATTAACTCAGTGACAAATTTAGCATTTCAAACAGCAGATAAAAGTGATATAAAAGATGTTAGCCTTAATGAAAAATTATCCAAAATCCCATAGAATTTTATCTGAAACTGTACTATAATGGGATATAACACCTGCATCTGCTGTTACTAGAACAATTACTTAAAATGTATTATTTTAATATAGAATGACTTATATCACTAGATGAGCAAATGTTTTGATTTGAATTTTAATGCAGAATTTGCATTCCTTAGCTAATTTGCAATTATATCATAATTATATTTGAACAGCTTTTCAAATTTCATAGACCTATTTTCTAATTTAAAAAAATCTATGTGAAAATTTACTATTAAAGAAATATTAGTCCAAACTTTTATATATTAATAAAATATAAAAATGGTAGCTGTTCTGAAAAACTGTACATACAGAATTGAATACACTATTAGAAATATTTATGGAATTGTATGCACATAAACAGTAGCCTACGTTCAGTGATGCGCTGATAAATATGTAAGAAATAACCCTGCTGACTGTATTTGCCATGCTACACTGTGTTGCCAGCAACTTTTTAGGCATCCTAGCTCAGTTTTGCTCTCAACCAATTTCCAGAATTCCAGAAAAGTTAACATTTAGTTCTTGTGAGCAGAGCAAGCCAGCTCTGAAACACCACTGTCTAAGAGATATTATAGCATCTCTCAATAAGAACTAATGAGGGCTGATGGGAAATGTAAGCAGTTTACAACCTAATGCTGGAAATTACAGCACTAATACATGGTATCACCACCATCACCACTTTATTAATATCAAAAAGGAACTATAAGGGCATGTCCATAAAACTAGCTGATATATCACTATGTAAACAGTAGTAATAACCGCTTCCTTTCCACCATTTAGTTCTGTTGATTGCTTAGATCTGTTAACCACACTGCATCTGTTAACCACACTGTATTTGTTAACTGCACTATATCTCTTAACCACACTGCATCTGTTAACCGCATTGTTTGGCAGCCTATAGCTCTAGAATGCCAAGTGTCTTTCAATTTCCCTTTCTGTAAGCTATATTTCTTGATTACATTCCCTAACCCATTTTTAATAACCATAAAGTGTTTGTCTTAAGTTAACACCCAGAGGGGAAAAAAGTGTATCTTCTCCAACATTTAGTAACCCTTTAAAAATTCAGTGAGCCCTCCATGTGGATAATCCATCCTTGACCTAAAGAATACAACTCTCAATTTAGTTTTTAAAAACAATGTTACACCTCCTGCTTTAACACCTTTCACTGCTTTGCATGATATATAAAGATAGACTGAGTTTGTAAAAACTGTAGACGTGGGTCAGAAGACATTTAAAAAAAGGGTATCGATTGTATTGAAATAAATGATTAAAAATGTGAAACCTTTGGGGGGCTGAGCATATGGAAGGTCTCCACAGAAGGGGAGTCTTTTTCCCTCTGTATGGTCTAAAATGAAGGAGGAGAAGCACCACATCAGTTGACCTTTTGTTGCTCTCTTTCACATTGTTAGAGCTGTATTAAGATTTCCGCTGCCATGTTAGATAAACAACATTCTTTAATCAAAAGCTGGTAAAGAATTGTTACAAACAACATGCAGCTTCAAGCATAGCTATTCATGTATGGGTTAAAAGCTTGATCTGTCAGCTCTTTATGTGATGCAATTAAAAGAAAAAAATGTGCTGATCCAACGAACAAGAGTATTTTCTTCTTTTTTTCATGAACTGTGAAATGGAGTTAGATTTAATGAACACGAGCACATGGCAAGCATAGATTGTAACAACTGATGCTAGAAATATTGCGAACAAGATAATATTGACTGGGGTATGCTGTAAAATGAGTATGAATAAAATAACATCATGCATTGTTAAAGAAGGGAAGAAACTTTAATACTTGCCACCTTTTCTTGTTCAATTCAGCAAAATTATTTTTCAATGCTACATTGCCTGGAAATAGCTGTCATATTGTTTCTGCTCTGGAACTAATGTAAATATCAGTACAAATTACAGATTTACAGTTGTATTCCAGTGATATTCACATGTGATCTTACAATACTATCATCCATTCAATACTATTAATGATATTATTGCTTTTGTTTGATAAAATTTAATCAGATTTATAATCATAAAGTTAAAGGCAATTCTACAGTGCAACACGGGGACATTAGTACAATCCAATAATGTACTAATATGTACATACAATGTATAGCATTGGGGGTATTTTTTTTAGCTAATAATAATTTCAATTTATAAAATGGCAAATAACTATCTATAAATATCACATGGAATGGATTTTTTGATTCATTATGTTAAAAAATAATTTTGTATCCAAAACTGGGCAGCCTAATTGCGAATATTTAAGAATACATAAAAATGCTTCATTTTAAATTAAATGGTTGCCAAGTTGAACAAAAGTACAAAAGAATTGGCTAGTAGTTTCTTTTTGTGAAAATAAAATAAAAAGGTAACAATCAACATGAAGCATTACATGCACCTTACCATTTCCCGGGCGTTCCTGCACATCGCCATATCAGAATCCAGCTTTTCACGAGCAAAATAATTTCTTTCATTCATCTCAGATCTGAGAATCTGTCCTTTGATCAAGTATATATTAGCTACATAAGGGACATTCCACACACCTCTATGAAAAAAAATGGCAGAATGATTGGAATTGAAATAGTCCTGCAGTTGGGCAACATTTTGGCCCACAATTCCCTTGTTTCTCTCTTAAGTTAAGTGATCAAATATTGTCAAACTTTAACTATAATTTCTACTTAATATGAAATGGGAAACTATACTTAAAAGTGCCAAGTGCACCAAGAAGATGAGCAGCTTCCTGATATTTACTATCCTGATTTTTTTCCAAAATTGTTAACTTTAGAGACCATAAAGAAACTATATGAAACTTACATATAAAGTTATTAGGGCAAGGTGAATTCCAATAAACACATTTTCTCTTATTATTCAATAAGAGAATGGCCAATATCATTCATCAATTTTACAAGTTGCAATTCTCAATTTTAACTTCTATTTGAACATTGTCGTGTCAACTGCACAGATATAAAAACTACATTAGCAACATAATCTGTTTGCTATAGTTAGCATATCAATGAACCAGAATAAAACTATGATAGGAAAACAATCATTTTCATGGTTGTTCCTCTGCTTTGGAAGAAGTCCACAAAGCAAGTTTGCATTGCTGAATTTTACAGAACACTTGCTCCTTTGCAAGGAAATCAATTTCTGGTGGAATATCTGAAGATGAAATGCACATTGTAAACAATTCTGAAATTAATTTCCATAAGTAGCTGTAATTTGTTCCATGTCCCAGTACACTGCTTCATGCAAAAATAGTTTTATAATATTCAACAATTCAAGGGAAATACAAATTACTTAACTGTAATTCATAATTGAGTAATTGATATCTACAAATAAAGAGCATTTAACTTTTCAACTTGTGACACACAATTATACTTTTTAAAATTAATGACAATTTATAGTTTACAATAGCACATTGCTCACAATTAACTTCATATTATTTACATAAATATTCCTTAAAAAGCTTTCAGTGAGCATTTGCTATAACTTCCACAAAATTAGCAAGTCTGAAATAAATGACTCAACTAGGCAAGAAGGGATGATTTCACATCCTGTAATAGGCATGATTTGATGGTATTATGCAAAATATTTTGATGTGCTCATTTGAAATTTGAAACAGCCCATTCTGATTGTGTGAGGCAAGCCCAAATGTGAGCTAGTATTTTAAGAATGATCAAGACTTTTTTGAAATACTTGAAAAGGAGCCACGTCACACAGAAAATTTGTTGTTGTTCAGTCGCTAAGTTATTCTTGAATATGCATGACCCTATGGACCATAGCACATCAGGCTGCCTTATCCACCACTGTCTTCCAGAGTTTGTCCAAATTCATGGTCATTGCATCAATGAGACTATCTAACCAACTCATCATCTGCCATCCCCTTTTCCTTTTGCTTTCCATCGTTCCCAACATCAGGATCTTTTCCAATGAGTCCTCTCTTCTCATTTGGTGGCCAAAGTATCTGAGCTTCAGCTTACACACACACAAAAAAAAATGGACTGTTTCAAATGTAACATGACATTGAAATAATTTACACATAACTTTTTTCTTCATATTGCAACCCTTCAGTAAAGAAAATTGCAACACAAATTTAACAAGTTTATTAAAACTGTTTATACTAGATAACCACAAAAGTTTAAAAAAATAGAGTTGCCAGCTAAGATCTTTAAACATAAGACTAACTTACATTCTATTTCCTTGGATAATATCTATGTAGTCTTCAGATCGAGCATAATACCCATCAGCAGTTAATGAACCCCAAAAGTTAGACCAGAGTTTCCCATGACGTGTTACAAGAGGTGCAATGATCTTTCTGTAAATAACAATATAAGGAAACGTGACTAGGTTGTAAATTAACAATGGAAGCTAACATAATAGCATTAACAGTATAGCATAATAATCACTCATATCCTGGTCACCTCATGATTGAATTATTTCAATGTTCTCTACCTAGGGATGCCCTTGAAGACCATTCATAATCTATACCCAAAATGCACTGCCACAAGCAGTAACGGACATTTCTCAGTGTATCCATGTATCACCACTGCTAAGTAAGATGCATTAGCTATCAGTTGGCTTTTGAATGCAATATAAGATGCTGGTTATTACCTATAAAGCTTATATTTTTTTCAAATTCAAAAGCTGTATAAATGGCTTTTGAACAAGTTCCTGAAAAAAAAACTGAGATGGAAATACAATATATCTAGCTGTGATCTTAGTGAACAGACAAAAGGAATGTTGACACAGAATAATATTAGCATTATTTTCTCTAACACACACTAAAACTAAAGCTATTTCAAAAAATCATTAAATAAATCTATAGAAAAATTGAGATTAGACTTAATAATGTTCTCTAATCCCAACCAATTTTCCCCATGTTAAGCATACCTATTTTGTTCTATTAGAAGCTTCAAAGTATTTGGATTTGTTAAAATAACATCTGCATCAATGCTGAAATAATAGTCACACTCTTTATTCTGTCGACAGATATCCCTTGAAAAATAGAATAGACAGCAAAGCTATAAGAATTTATAAACAAGTCAGTATCCAAATAGTCATAATAGCTGTAGATATGTATGTATAAAACACAGAAATTTGAGAAGGTTCTGTGGCAGCTTAAATAGTATAACACACAAATATATATATAGTTAATTGTTCAGAAAAAAGATTTAGATGATAAAATAAAAAAGAACAAGGTGTCACAAGTCATATGCTAGATAAAGTACTGCAAAAGAAGAATTCAGAAGTAAAAGCACTATGGTTTCTCATGTATGTGTTAATGAAATACTAGAGGATGATTCAGAGATTAATTTTGCAACTGTCTGCAAGATTATTTGTCTGCAATAATTATTCAGATGACCTTCCCAGTAATCTTAAGAATAAGCTATCCAACTTTTGAAATGGGAAAATGACTCAAAACAACATTGCCTCTACATTAGATCTTTTCTTGGCTGTGATGGAATGTCAGGAACCATTACAATGGTAATGTGGAACCATTACAAATGAGATCTAAACCTTGGGAAAGTAGAAAGAGTGAAAAAGCTTTCTTGGGTTTGGTACATAAGGTGGAGTAGAAAGGGGCTTTGAAGGGCTTTCAGAATTCTGTAACTATACTCCAATTAAGCTACTTTTTTCCAAGATGCCTAGTAACTCCTGCTTCCTGAAAGAATTAAGTTTAAAACGTCCAAATAGTACAAGATACAGTACTAATAAAGGATAATATTTGTAGCTCAGGATTGATATGAGGGGGCCTTGATGTCCTCTGAGCTTGTTGTTTTCTGGCAGACATTTCATTACCCAACCTAGGTAACAGCGACCAGCACTGATGATATTATCTAGTTTGGGTAATGAAATGTCTGCAAGAAAACAAGCAAGCTCAGAAAGCACCAAGCTATAGTACATTTGCTGCGGTAGTAGCATTCCAGAGATGATCTGGAAATCAAAGGGCCAAAGTGGTCCCAAGGGTGGTAGGAGCACTTGGGGCTATGACTTCTAAGCTGGGAGAGTAACTCCAGCAGATCGCAGGAACATCAGAGCTCTCTATCCAAGGGAGTGCAGTGCTAGGAACAACTAAGTTAATGAGCAGAACCCTCAAACATCTAGGCCTCTGATATAGGAACCAAGAATGAAGAAGACACATGCCATCCATGGGATTGAGAAGGAAACCTTTTCTTTAATTTAAAATATAAATTTTACTCCTATACTGTATGTACAAAGAGAGAGATCTTCTGAGTCTTTTTTATTGCAGAAAATCCGAAACACTTTTTCCAGATAGATTGAACGTATGCCTACTTTAATAGCTTTCCAAGCAAATCAAGACAGCTTTATAATCTTGACTTTTTGTTGAGTGCTTTATTTCATGTCTATTCATTCTCTATTTTTGTTGGGAAATGTGCAGTTATATTTGCTTTTTAATTTTTTTTGCTTCATTGTTATTACTTGTTTCAATATTATTTCTGAATATTGAATTTAAAAGACAATTGCTTTCAAACTTATTAAAAGCTAGTGAAGAAATTTGATAAAATAAACTGAAAATAATGAAGTTGACAGGCTGATGAATAATGTACCCCATCTGTTTTGTTTCAATATATTTCTCTACCATACTGAAAAACATATAAATTTTAATATTAAGCAATCCCACAAAGAGAAAATGTGTATAAACACATAGCAGAGGTACTTAATTAAAGCAATTCTTTTTATATATATTTATTCAAAAGAATAAAAACCTTCTAATCAAGATCATTATCTCTTCTAATATATGCACTGGAAGATTAAATAATTAAAATTAAATTACATTCCCATGTTCCTGGCATTGGCTTGATTCAGATTTTCTTCAGGTCCAACAATTTTTATAGTTTTAATTATATTCTTCGCTTTTTCCCAAAAGTTTTTTATATCCTTTTCATGATGAACTTCCTGGAAACGTGTTTTTTTTTTTTTAAAAAAAGAGAAAGAATTAATGAGAAATCAGTAAAACTATACAAGAACAAAATATGCAGTAAAATAAATAGCAGACAAAATGGAAACTGAAATGAAAACTCTACAGATCTGGAAAAGATTATAAATAGATTGTTCTTACTTCAACATTTTTATACCAGATTTTTTCCTCAGATGGTATTTATATAGGAGCAGGAGTTCACCCAGTGAGATCGAATGGACTTATACATACAAACAGACACACACACACAGGCACACACAACTTATTCTAAATATAGACACAAGTAGGCCATAAAAAATATGATGGACTGCACAGTAACAGCCATGCTCCCGTTCTTTCCATTTATGGATGATTTTATTCTCCAAATACCATTACTTTAAAATAAAATTGAGGACACTGCATCAGAATTGGCTCTATTTTCTCAATTTAATAAAGTTCAACAGTAAAAAAAAAAAAAGGTTTTCAGTTCTCAGACCTGATTCTTCGGTAGAAGTGGATAAATAGAATGTTCAGGATGCAAATAACCATTTGCATAAAGTATTCACCCAGATTGATAACATAATCTTTACTTCCGCCCATGTCTAATCTTCTGCAGTTAAACTGAAAAAAAACATGTTCAAAGTCCCTAAACAATTGGGCTAAACAAACATTTTGGATATTCATTCATTCATTCATTCATCCATCCATCCATCCATCCATCCATCCATCCATCCATTCATTTTCTAGAGTAGCCTGTTTCAACCACCTGGGTGGCTTGCAATTCTAAAACAATTAAAAACAACAGAACTGTAAAAACATCCAGAAAATACAGCAGCAGAGATAGTTACCAGCTAACAGTAAAGCCAAGAAACAGGGTCTTTAATACATTTCAAGACTCATAATGCACAGCTACAGTCAAGTTTTCAAAGCCTTGCAAACAGAACTCAGAGTTGAAGTCACTAAAACCTCCAAAGGGAGAATATTCCACAAAGTATAGGCTGTAGCAGATAAGGCACATCTTTTAGTTCCTGCCATTAGTTCTTTGGCTAATGGGATTTGTCACATGCCCAATTTGCTGGAAAAAATTGGATGGATCTTGGGGAAAAAAAGTTCCTCAGGTAGCCTGGTTCCAAGCCACAGAGGGCTTTAAAGGTGGTAACCAGCACTTGGAAATACACTAGCATATTTAGTATTTGTGAGTTTAATTCCTCCTTCCATGCATCTCTAAATACAAAGGAACAAATGCTTCAAGATTTGAACGAACAATGCACTGAAGATATAATAGAAACACTAACCTGAGATGAAATTCTACTATGAATATTCACAATATATGCATATTATATCTCATGTAACAGCACAATTATTTAAAAGTTTAATGTTATTTTACTATCAGTCTACAGTATAAATTGAGTTATTTACTGATTTACAAAAATTATCATTAAATTCCTATTTATAAAATACTTACATTATTATGAATAAAGATGCTAAGTTTTTCTTTTGTATATTCCAGATTCAATACTCTGTCTAAGCACTTTGATAGGAAGGGAGTTGGTTGTTCAATGAAAATACCAATTGTTACTGTTGGACCCTCCTAAAAACAGTAAGAGTAAAGGTATAAACAGTGCAAAGGGCTGACTTCAAAATCTTTTACTGTAAGAACAATGAACTACTATTATGAACCTTGAAAAAAGGTATTCTTTTCTGTATTAGCATTTTCCACACATTAGTAAATACTTTAAATTATACCAAAGAACTGATGCATTAAATATTTTTATAAACTACTATAATAATTAGTTTTGCCTGCAATCCTATAACTATTTACCTAGGAATAAGTTCATTGAATTTCACGGGGCTTAACTTTTTAGTATAGATGTATAAGATTTCATAGTAATAATATGGGTGCATAGTTTTCAAGTCTTTTATATAACTAAGATGGAACCCATATTCAGTTGCAAGGTGTTGATTTTAATCCTTCAAAAACATAATATAGAATGAGGATCTGGGAGGGATGAAAGGTAGGGGGGGGGAGAGATTATACTTTATTATGTGTGGCTTTCCAATATCAACATGAACAAAGTGGATTGAGTCCAAAGGAAAACTTCCAGTTAAAACACAAAAAGTAAACTATTAACTTACGTATGATCACTAGGATTACATTTGCAAATACTTTAATTAAAAAATAGATAATGCCATCACCTGTCATAAATCTTAAAACCACTGATATCATTTTTCATCTTGAAATACAGGTTTATGTCAATTGAAAATGTTCAGAATTTCCCTGTTTCAGTTTAATCTCTCTTAACACTATTCACAAAATGAGAATAACAACTATGTAATATTTATATTTGTATGGTAATTTTATGTGGTAGTTTATAACAAATCAGCAAGCACCATTTCCCTATGCACTACTATTCTTACCTAGCTTGGTAATGAAATGTCTTCAAGAAGAAAAGCAATTTCAGAGAATAAAAACCCTAAATTCTGCCATAGTTGTCTCTTAGAGTAAATATTAGTGCTGTGCGTCTGGCTGAAAACTAGGCACTGCCCAGACTAAGTTATGCCATGAAGGAGAGGGCCTTGTGTACTTTATTCACTCCTATCTAACTTTGATGAGAGAAGACAAATTACATTTTCTACCAAGACAAAACCATGATAGCAAAGAATCCATTTGCAATCTTTTGCAGAATCTCCATTTGGTGTCTTCTGGGCTTTGGGGGAGAGGACTATTTCCCAACCCTTATTATATATGGTCCATGAGATCAGAGCTATCATAGAAGCATCCCTAGGCTGCGGGGCCAGGCATTAAGTTGAAATTATTGGGCTTAAGAACCAAAAAGAATATTTTTGACAGCGAAAAGAAAGATTCTTTGGGGATTCCCCATTGAGCCTCAGTGATTTGGCTTACTGTACTGAGAAAAAGAAGCTATTAAACAGAACTGCAAGTTTCTGAGAACTTGTTTTCTGCTGTGTGATCCATTATGATTTTGGGTCCTTGAATCATAAGAGTTTTGAAGTTTTTTTTGGAAACATTAAACAAAATCTACATTTGGAAGATTCTGGTGAATAAGATTGGTTATTTACAGTATCTTCTTTGACTAAGGACAGCTTCTCCTTCTCCTGATCTGAGTCAGATGAGAGAGATCTGAATCATGTGCAGTAATGAGTGGGGATGTTTTTCTTCTACCTACAACATTGGACTGTACCTTGTCCTTTTTGGTGAAGAGGTAGAAAAGGGGAAATGCAGAGAAAAGGTTCAGATTTTTGCCACCATCCCACCCACACACCATGAGATTGTTAATGTCTGTCATGGGCTCAATCCAGGAAAGCTATCACCTCTGTTTAAATGCCAAGGCTTTCTCTGGTAAACTTTGAAAATAGAAAACCAGGACTCTCTGATGGAGAGAAATGTGTACATTCAGTCCTGAACTCCATATAAAGTTGTAATTATTTTCGCATAACAGAAATCAGTTCCCACCCTCATTTTATGGATAAAATGGTAGCTAGATGGAGAAAAGAAAGATGAGAAAATCTGTTGGATGTAAGGTATGGAAGGAGACACTTATAGAAATCATTTATATACATACTTCAATTATATGCAGCATATACTCACAGGCAATGTAGCAATTTCTAATAAATCTGAGTCACAGACACCACAACCTGTTTCACGAGTCCAGCCATTAGGTATATAATTTCCAAAGTAATTGAGATTAAGCTAGGTTAGGAAAGATAGAGGAACAAACCACAATCAAGTCAATTCAATAGATTATCATTTCTAGCTTTTAAATAAGATCTACTCACTTAATGGGACAAAATGAATTTGGCTATGAAATTTCATGAAATGCATTGATCCTTCTTACCACTGCTACTAACAAATGAATTTCTATTTTATTGCTGTTATGTGGAAAAGGTCATATTGAAATTAAGTCACTTTCACTTACTTTTGTTGGGCCATTTCCATGAAGAGTGACTGGCAGAGTATCATATATAGAATTCCTAGCTCTGGCTCTTCCGTCTTCAAATTTCAGAAGAACTTCATCTGCAGTCCATCAAGAAATTAACAATGCATCAACTGCTGGTTACTCAAACAAGGATGATACAACATTCTTGGCATTTTTCCCCTCATCTAATCCAGTTCATACCATTCTTCTATTTCTATGTCTATTGCCAGGAAATGAAAAACTGGATGATATTGAAAGTAGTTTTTAAAATTTAGAATTAATGTTCAGTAAATTCCAAGCCTTCTTATCTTGAGATTGATATTTTTGGTAAATAAGTGAATACACTTCAAGCTCTCTTATCCATAACCAATAATTTCATACAAAATTTGGAAATCTTCAAAGGGGTGCTTCCCTTTAAAATTTGTGATGCAGCATGGCCTCTTCATATTTCCAGCATTCTCTCCCAGCACTTACGAAAACTAAAAGAGCCTTCCATGTTGATGCAGGTCCTGAGAATACCTGTTTCTCAGTTCTAGCATGTGACTAAGACAAGAGACAGATGCAGTGGTGGGGGCAAATCCCACATATTGCAACATTGAAACGTGAACTTTTTGGCACTTGCATTTTATTGCTGCATCCAAGCATTATGTAGAGGTTATGTCATAAGTAGTTAAAGGGTAGATGTTATGTCATGACACTACAGTATATTGGTCATTTTGATAAAAACTCCACTGCTGCAGATCCCCATGTAAGAGACTCTAGGAAAACTTGAAGCATCATGAAGTGTTACATGAAGGCAAATAGCATTTCTTTTTTTCTTCAACTATGAGAATAATTTTATATCCATTTCTTCAATCAGGCAAATATAAATCACATAGGCCAAATTCCACATCATGGGCAAGAATTGCAACATTGGCAAAGAAGAAGCAATAATTGTATTGTTTGTAAGCTACCTAGAATCACCCCCAGTGAGATGAACAGCATATAAATTGAATGATTGAATGAATGAATATTTCATCATTTAATATGTACTTTAACATACATACCAACAGCTCCATTTAGGGTCTGGAAAATATTGCATTTGTGATCCAAAGTAATATTAATACGTTCCTAAAGTACAAGAAGAGAAAATATGGTAAAAGTGGCCCTATAAAGTAAAGATCAGTATAAAACTAAATTCAAATAGTGTTATATAATGACCAGATGTTTCATTGGCAATTCTTTTAAATACCCACACCCACACATTTGCAATATTCCATATATCATCATGTTCATAATACTTCAAGAATATATACTTTGTTAAGACATTGTTTATATATCACTAATACCAGAGATTTGCTTTCTGTTCCAAAGGCCAAGAGAAGTTCATGACTTCTCAGAGAAGAATGACTTGGCAGTATATAGTACAAGAATATCTGCCAAAAATCGCTAGCAGATTACCATATTTGAAAGATCAGAATAGAAAGTTGGAAATAGACTATGGTACATAGACAACAGGATAGTTAAGTCTGCTACACAAATTAACCTTTTAATAAAAAGAACAGCAAGACATGTTTCTAGAATCCATAGATGTGCCTCAGTTCAAATCAGTGAAAGAGCCAAGAGATTATTTTAGTATCCTTGAGCATAGGAATTACATACACCAACTCCATCAAGAAAAACTGAATACAGTTCCATCAGCATAGTAAATATAATTATCCCTTACGTAAGCAAAAAACTCCTTAACACAATCATTTAATTAGCTGTTCAAATGCAGGAAGTTGCACCATAAAAAAAAATATGGCTAATATTTGTGATAATTCTGTTACTATATTCCATGCATCCAAAGAAGCCTGTTGTGATCCACAATAGTTATAGGATAATATTTTGTTTCCTTTTGTTATGGTGTCACAATATTTACTGCTTTTCTCCCACTGGAAATTGTTATATTGACCTTGGTTCCTTTTATATTTTTTTCCAATCCAATGGAATGGTGAAATAAATTATGTAAAAAGATTCAGGGCTATGCCTGTCAGTTGAATAATTTTCCAAAAGCAGAAAGGAAAGAGACAACATTTGATGTTCTGGGAGAAATCAGCAAGACAGAGTCACAACTCAAAACTAGATTGGATTCAACCAAGCTATAAACATGATAATAATCTATAAAATGTCCCTAACTGACAAGTGATTGAAATCAGCTCAAAAGGTTGCTGACTCTTCCATTCTAAGATTCTTTCCTCATCTACAACAAGTGATCTAGAACAAATATATTTTTGTTCAAAAGAATTGAAGAAATGATGTTATGTTTTCCTAAGTTGTTTAAAAGTAAGATTTATGTGAACTGCCCCCAAATATGTAGGTTTAATACATTACCTATAGACACTATAGACACTACAGATAATTGTATTGATTGCTAATTAAGTTCTACTTACCCTCTTCAATGGATCAATATAAATTTTTGTATAAAAAAGCTGATCATCATCACTATCTTGAAGGTCCCATTGTTGTACAATATCATTTACATTTGGATAATAACCAATAAATCCTGAAATAAACCATAAAAAACAATTTGATATTTTTTAAGACACCAACCATTAAACTTTAAGAAAATTCTAAAAACCTTTTTGGAGAAGCTGTACCCAATTTCTTGCTGGAGATTCCTTGGTGTTTATTTCTTGAGATACATTCTGTTCTTCTGATTTCTTGCTCCTAAATAGAAAAACTATTCTAGGTATCATTCTAATTCTGCTATTGTTTGAGAGAAAACGAAATTGGGATGATGACATGACACTCTCTAACTTGGCATAAGTGATCACAAAATCAGTCTGAAGTAATTCATAAATAGCAAATGAAATTGCTGTCAAATCCTATGCATTATTTCTAAAAAGATCTGTAAGAAAGGACCTTCTGAAGTTGAATCCATTCTCTAGCACAAGGGAGAAGGTCTTTTCCTGAATAAATTCACATGCAGTGAAATATACTCACTACAGAATTTCCTTGGGACTTTGCATTTTAATGGGCAGCCCCAATACCTCTCTTTCTTCAACCTTAAATTAATATTTTATTTTTCTGATTATTGTAAACCATTTGAATACCTAGGGCAGTAAAAATATATTATATAAAATGAGCAAAGCAAAACAAAGTAAAAAAGAAGTGGGACATTCTTAGATATAACAGTGCATAGAATCATAGCTTTAACATACCATGCTATAAGAGCACATTGTAAAGATATCTTATTAGCCAGTTTAAGGGTTCAGCAATCTCATGTAAAATTTAAATGGGAGGGTCAGGGATTGAAAGATATGATGCATATACAAGCCTAACAATATCTCAGACTTTTTTAATAAATCATTAGTAGTAATCCAATGTTATATGTCAGCCTTATTTAATAGCAAAATAATTTATATCATTTAAAATCTTTATATTCAGCACAAGTTCTCTTGAAAGTCTTCAAAAAATGTTTTGCAAAAATGATTCAGGATTTCAAAATAACCAATATAAACCATACCATGTTGTTCAAATAAGTAATATTGTTTATATAAGCAAACAATAATTAAGATAAACTACAAATGCTATGGCTCCATTTAAAACTAAAAGACGATTAAGTTAAACTTTTCTAGTTGGTGTAGAAAAAGCTATAATCATATTGGCAACAACATTTAAATGGCCATGCACAATAATTTCTTTTAGTGAAACACACATTGGAAAAATCAGTTCTTTCCTAATCATTGTTGTTGATTTATGGTTTGCTTTCCTAAGACAAGGCACCAAGATAGCCCACAGCAGTTCCATTTTCTATCATTCTTATTGCAAATGAAATAAAATCAGTCTGTCAAATATTGTCTGAGCTTAATTCATCTATTAGTTATTCTTGAAAAACTTTATACCAACAAAAATCAGTATAACAATTGACTGCCTGCTTCTGCTCTAATTATATCATCAGTTGCTCATTATTTTAGCTAGTGAAAAAAAAATGTCTTAATATGACAATACAAAGATCGATATGTTGAAATATATGAGCCTACTTTTGAATTATACACCCCAAACCTGGAACTTATATAAAAAAATTTGGATTTATTGAGCATCGAGGAATTAAAGATCATTACTTTATATTGGAAATATATAGGTATTTCTGATTTACAATCTTAGATTGCAGAAATGCATTAACTTTCTATTTATGAGATGGTTTTACATTGACAAAAGAAGGCTGATAAAATTATTTCACATGATTAAATTATTAGATTTCTTTAAAAAAGAAAAGGAACAATTATGATATAGTAGAGAAACATTTGTTTTCCTTCTAATCCATCATGTTTGATTCTTGGAGATTGCGTGGAAAAGTTCCTGCAATTTTCTTGGTAAGGTTTTTCAGAAGTCATTTGCCATTGCCTCCTTATTAAGGCTGAAAGAAAGTGATTGGCCCAAGGTCACCCAGCTGGCTTTGTGTCTAAGATGAGACTGGAACTCATGGTCTCCCGGTTTCTAGACTGATGCCTTAACTACCACATCAAACTGGCTGTCAGATAAACTTACAGAGTTAGACAGATAAAGAACATATAGGCACAAATTATTTTTCTTTCTGCACAGGTTTATATTGTTCCTTCCCTTTCTTTATATATTTGTCTATTTCTCTATTTCTCTATCCATCCATCCATCTATCCATCTATCTAAGTGAAAATCAAAATGATATTTCAATTCAATTTATAATATTTATTGTTTAATTGCCAGTTGTAAAAAATAAAATGAAACTCAGAGTGGCTGGCAAAAATGTGCAAACATCAGTAAGAAAATTAAAACATTGTTATTTCAACAGATAAAAATAATGGATAAACATTAGAAAATTGCTAAAATCATCTCTCCCAAAAGCACTAGATTCAGAGAAGCAGTATCACATTAGACAAAGAGGCCTCGGAAACCGTTCAACATAGGAGCAGGGTGTAAGATGCAGGTAGGAACAGCATACACTGAATGGCACAGTCAAATTGCTGCCATTGTGTTCCAGAAGATTTATACAGTGTATGGGCTTCCAAGTCCAGAGGGAAGAACAGGCATTAAGTATCACATCCATATCTCTGTTTCTACCTCTGTTTCTAGTTCCTGACCAAAGTTTCATGAATGCCTGTTGGAGGGATGGCACTGTAACTAATTTCAGATGAAAATTAAATAATAACTGTAACTTCTTGCCCTAAAACAATGCCCTCCTTAAACAAAATATGAAGAGTGGGTATCTGCAGAACTGGCTAAAATTCCAAATTATCCAAATGGCTAAACGCCCACAGAGGAACCTGCTTAGTTCAAATAACAGAAGATAAGAAATCAGTCAGTTTCCATTTTAATGCTACTCTACCCAATTAGCACACAAACTAGAACATCTGTGCCAAAGCCAAATTTATAACACGAGATTACAAGGAAAAGCATACACAAAAACTGAATACTGTATGTATGTACGTACGTATGTACGTACGTACGTACATACGTACGTACATACATACATACATACACACATACATATGTATATCAGGGGAAAGTGTGCATGAGATAACAAGACAAAAATATTATATGTATTAAGATAATTCTGGTAGAGTCATTAGATGACAGATGAAGAAGCAGCCAGCAACCATTTTAATTTCTTGAAATGTTACTGAACAGAACTATGTTAGAAACATTGAGAAATTCAATTCAGCCCAGGAAAGGACAAAGGAGAACATGAATCATTCCAGTACAGAAAAATTGTAGTTTCTACTGTATATTTAATCATCTTTCTAGTGTCACATAATAATAGGCTATCTGTGATAACTATGGCATAGAGTATTTTTAGGAATGTGAAAATTTGCCTAAGCAATTTTCTTTGCCTGAAAAACATTCTGAGGAATTTTTGCAACATTCTTCAAACAAGCTAGTTGTGAAAGAAAACCCTATGTTGCTTTATAAGTACTTTGTTAGCTTCTATCTAAAATAGTGTTCTTCCAAATTGGCAACCTGAAGATATGTTGGTTTTGATCCCAGAATTCCTTAACAAGCATAGAGAATTCTGGTGAATTAGGGAATTGAATCCACACATCTTAAAGTTGCCAAGTTTGAAAAATACTAATTTAACTGCCTCCCACTTTTCTCTTTTTATCTTTTCTTTTGCCTACCTCAGCTCTTGTTGATAAGAAAAGGAGATGGAAATGAAATAAACTTATCTGAAATTACTCTTATTAATAATGTACATTTTCTCTTCAAAATGTTTCAAAATATAATTAACAAAGAAAGCAAATTTGCATAGCATGCCATTTTTCCACTTTTGACTTTGAAAAATACTACTTACCTCCAGCATTAAGGAATCGTTTTCCACTGCGAACAATCGGGTATTTGTCAGACAATCTTTTATCAGGCCATATCAAGCCATCTGCTGCAAATACAACTTTATGATTAATTTGCTGAAATTTCTTCAGTAATTCCTCAGGTCCTCCAGTAAATATAACATCATAACTAAAGAGAATAGAAAAAGTGACTGTTAAAAAGCATTTCTACACTTCAACAGTAGCATTCAACACTGAAACGAAAGAGAACAATTCTATCTTTATAGTGTAACGATTCAGGTGTTATTCAGATGTAAGCTTTACATTTAGAAAAATGAGACAACTCTATTTTTTATCTCATTCACTTAGCCTTAAATAAAATCAGGTTATTTCCAATTTTTCTTTCAAAACAAGTCATTCTATTAAAAGGAATATATAGATTAGCCCTTTCATCTATTTGCTTCTGTCCATTTATCGCTGCAGCCATTTTTACCATTCTAATGTATTTCCAATACTGAGGCCAAGAAGGTGGAAAAAAGATTTTCTGAAAGAATTGTAGAGAAATAGTATGGGAGAGAGACCATTTACTATGCTTTTCAGTATGTTCCTTCTACAACTGAAACCAATGTGCAGAAACCTCAACATTCCACATAAATTTTCTTCTCCTGTAAGTTTCATTTTTTGCCATATTTTCCAAGCTCATGAGAAATTCCATTCAATTCCCCATGGTGTGTTTCAGAGTTTACAGGGTTGTTGGAGGTGGTAGAGCTGAAACTGTTATCTTCTATTACACAATTTCCCTACATTCTGAAGCCTCTGTGGCTGCCCACACTTCTTAATCCAAAACACGTCATGTAAGGAGTTGTCTCATAGGGCTTCTTTCAGGAAGCAGGAAAGCTAGAGAAGCTACAAAGCTACAGAACAGGATATTCTTCCATCCTGTCCCTTCAAATTCCACCCAGGATAATTCATGATATTACATGAACTACTACATGATATTATTTTCTATTGTTATTTTTTTATATTTTTTAATCATTTTTTTTTCTTTTTATTGTTGTAAGCTAGCCAGAGTAGTCCCAGAACGTGATAAATAAAAATTAACAAATAAACAAACAAACATTCATTTCTACTTTGAAAGAAATTGTAATGGAAATTTTCAACCTAAATCAGGACTGATAGAAAAAATGCATGTAAAACACTGGGCATTGGCTATAATGTGCCCTGTGTTTTACATGCGCAGACAGAAATCAGTGGAGAATAGTTTCCAAAATAGTTGATTCTTAATCTTTAATTTGCATTCTCAAACAAATCCCAGATAGATAATATCTAGCTATCCCTAGGTGTTGCCTACTTAGTAGTAGCTTAAAGTTGTCCAGATTGAGAAACATTTGCCTTAGAACATGTTTCAACAACATGATCCAATCCCATTGAACCAAATCTCTACTCCAGCACCATTGTGATACCCGTGCCATACTTTTTCTGCAAGTGCAACTGATACAATAGCAACTTGATGAAATGTAGAGGCTGTCTTTCCTAAAAGATATAACATTCATTTCGTATATCTATAACTATTGAATTATTGAATTAATTATTGTGTTTTTGTGTGTGCTTGTTTTATTCCTAATGTCCCACTGTCACTCTTCAAATATTTTCAAGAATCCCTATTCACCTCTAATGAACATATAATTACACTGAAGCAGTACAAGCCAGAGAGTCTTTACGGGCTTCAATTTTCTTTATCTCCTCTTCTCTACATTATCACAAGATAACTATATTGTAGATGCAAATACAGCATCTACAGTCCCTTGCAGTTTTTATACGTTCAGTTCCCCAAATGAATATGGAAAAGAATATTTTTTCTTCCATATTTGTAATTATAAATCAGAATAACAAGAGTTGAAAGGAACCTTGGAGGTCTTCTACTCCAAACCCCTATTTGGGCAGGAAACCAACTCAGACAAATGGTTTGTCCAATCTCTTCTTTAAAACTTCAGGATGCAGATTGCTCCACTGATTAATTGTTCTTGCTGTCAGGAAACTTATTTATTGGTTCTCTCCTTGATTAGTTTCAATTAAATAAGATTGTGCAGAAATATACTCTTTATCTATTCCTATTTTCTGCTTTTAATCTCTCTATCTTTTTAATTTTTCACATTTCATTTTCATACTGCTGCTCCAGCTGTCTGAAATATTTCTGGCTTTTTTATTTTCATCTTAGTCATGTCCATAAAACAGAAAATGTAATTTTGTTTCGAACCTGAAACAAACACAGATTGTCTCTAGAGTCTTGCCAAATTGTTCTGGATTGCCATTGGCCACAACTGGGCAAAAAGAAAAAAGAAATTGCAGAACTCTTTGTGCTGTTTGGATTTTGGCTAAAACAAAAGCTGCAGGGATTCTGGAACGATCTCATAGGATAAGAAGGGCAAGGCTATTACACATCCTCTCTCTGCTGTCCTTCCAAAGCATCTCCCAATGCAGCATATCCCAGTACTTACAATTCACCACACACACACACACACACACACACACACACACACATATACACATTTCAAGTTCTTTTCCTTCCCTTTTGCTGTAGTCAATGACTTTGAGTGGCATATTTCACTTCCATCCCATGGCCTTCCTTTTTTTGCCTCCTTCCAGTTGCTGTCACTCATTTCCTATTGCCATCTATATTCCAATGCTTTTCCTTCCCTAAAATTTTAATGCTACACCCTTGCCATTTTTCCATTTCCCTCTTTTATTATACTGTTGTTATATTGTTTCAATAAGTGATATTTGTACAGAATTAATTACTAACATTCTATTGTTCTTATAAAGTATTAGAAATAAAAAAGAGAAAGAAATGTTCTATCAGTTATAAGTTAGAATATTGATATTACATACTTAAATTATCTGACTTTTTCATATGCTATTGAGTATAAGATAAAGAAAAACTGCTTCAAATCACATCAAAGGATATATATTTTTAATGCTATAAAGCAGTGGTGGCGAACCTATGGCACGGGTGCCAGAGGCGGCACTCAGAGCCCTCTCTGTGGGCACACGTGCTGTCGCCCCAGTCCTAGGCCTTCAGCTGGGTTTTATAAAACCTTTTGGCTTTAGACGTCTGCTAAAGGCCCATTACTTCTTGACCAGACTATGTACCACTTCAGAATTTTGTTACAACACAGATGCAATGATTTGAACATTAGCATCCCTTTGAATTGAAAAGTTTGGATTGTAGGGTCAGTAAAAGATAATAAGATTTCCCTTTCCAAATTGATCTTAACACCAGGCCTATCAAACTAATTTTTATGAATTCATATATGGAGTACATAATGTATCATGTTTAGATGATTTAGAAGAGACGTATGCTAAGAAAAATTGGCTACCGGGTTTGGAAGTGAACTAAGTGACATTTTCCTAGTTTTTATTTTCTCTCTCTATCATCTATAGATATAAACTGAATCCAGTAATACTATATATATCCTCTTGAGCTCTTGTAAGATAAGTAGATAGAATATGAATGCCTATTAAGTGCCTGTTAAAATCACAAACACTTATTTGGTGAATTTGGGTCACTTTCTGTATCTCTTTCCAGTATAATTCAGAGTAAATGTTAAAGCTTTTAAATCAGAGTATGTTGCCTTAGGTTCTTAGCGACTAAAAATAAGACAGAACAATTGAATATGCAGGTTGTATTTGATTCTATTATTACAATGGTTGCAATCCTAAGTTTCATTTAAAATCTGAAAAGAATCTGAAAATCTAATAACTTTCATAATTTTTTTTCTTTTAAAAATGAACTAATTGAATGTAGAATATGTTAAGTACAAGGAATATCCTGAATAGAGAGCAACTAAACATGTACCTCCGTTTGCTCACATCAGTCTCCAAGAAGCATATCAAAATGAGATTTAATGTAGAGGTTAAGATACTGGAGTAGGAACTGGGACACCATATGTTCTATTTTTCTGAGGCCCTTAGGCATGAAAATTGGCTGGATTATTTTTACAATTTTACTATAATCACTCTTTCTTAGTCCAACTGCCTTGAGTTGTACAAAAATAAAGGCAGGATAATCATCTATAAGAAAAGAGTGATCAGAACTCTTGTCAAAAAATGAAAAGCTTTCCAAGTTAATCACTAAAATACATACCTAAATTATAACAATTTCTTAATTATAACCACTACAAAACTGCCCAGGATTAAGTTTGCTAACTCTGTCTTTCCCTGAAAAAGCCTGCTTGAGAAATTGCTCTATGATTCATTTAGCTATTTCCAGTTTTGTGTTTACACGTACTATAACATATTCCTAGTAATTAAGATAAAAGGAAAATGTAAACTTATTTGGACATTAAGAGAAAACGTGTCCTTCGGCATATGAGTGAAGAAAGAAATGTTCTCGTTATTTTACCTTTATCAACAACTCAGTATAGAACTTAAACTCATTTTAATAGAGTAATAGAATAATACGGTTGGAGGAGATCTTGAGGTTTTCTAATGCAATCCCCAGGTGTTTGCACATATATAGGGTAGGAGGCTTCATATGTCCAACTAAAATGGTCCTATAGTTCAATCTATATTCCAAAGACAAGAAATGTTTCCTATAATTCAGGAGTAAGAAGTGTTTCATGCTGTGGTCTACACTTTTGAATAGCACGTCAAAACCTTCAGTTCAGAAAGTGGGCAGGCTAATACAAACCCTAGGTTTCCATTAATTTACATTTCATTAACATCCACTTCATTTTAAGAATTAATATTATTATTCCAACACTGGAAGTTTTTAAGAAGAAACTGGACAGCCATTTGTCTGAAATGATATAAGGTTTCCTGCCTGAGCAGGGGGTTGCACTAAATGACCTCCAAGATCCCTTCCAACTTTATTATTATTATTATTATTATTAAATTATTCTTCATTAATTTCATAATTCACCATCTCACACTAAACCTTCAACTTTCTGACAACTATGGAAATTTTTGAATACTTGGAATAAATTCTGTTCTCTAAGGACTGAATAGGGCTTAAGCTTTCGGCAGAAACTGATGCATCTCACAGATGTTACTATTTAAAACATGTATTACTTTGCAGAAACTCTGTTCACATCTGGATATATATTTCTGAAAAAAAAAACCTTAAAGAATGCCGATGGTATTCTATGTCTGGACTCCTGCTTCAATGTACATTGTTGGAAAAATTATTGCTAAAGTCGTGTTTTTCTAGGAATTACTACAAATCAAAATTAAAAGGTACAGCAGTCTCCATATTATTCCAAATTATATAAGTTATGTTACATTATATAAATAATATAGTTCCATATTATTCCATTTTTAGAATAAGATATTTAAACATTTTATTCATATTCCTGAAGAACTTCATGACTAATTCTAGATAGATGATGATGATGATGATAATGTGTGTGTGTGTGTGTGTGTGTGTGTGTGTGTGTGTGTGAGAGAGAGAGAGAGAGAGAGAGAGAGAGAGCGAGAGAGAGAGAGAGAGAGAGAGAGAGAGAGAGAGAGAGAATAGGCAGATATGGTCTCTATTTTCTTTTCAGAACGTCAAAACATTTCTTTACATCATGGTATAAATGGGAGTTTCCACTATCTATCTGTCAGGATCAGTAATAATCTCTAGAGTTCAAGTTTAAACTGTGCAAGACAAGTTCATAACCCTTCTAGAACCCGAAATATATCATAAAAATGCAGTCATTATTTTACTCATTTATTTTCTTTTTTAAAAAAGATTTTTTTTATTTTAAGAAAATATGTTTTTAAAAAAGGTAGCTAATTCATCCATTTCATGGGTTTTTAATCAGCAAAGGAAATCATAGCAATGATCAACTAAAAAATATGATTTCTGTGTAAAATTTATTAGTTATTCCATTGACTATCCATACAACAACCCAAGATTTATCCTAACTGTGATTGAACAGATATGTGTCTTCTACATAATAAAAAATATCAATAGAGATCTAAATTCACAGTTGTTCTATGGTCATCATGAACTTATTTATTTGTGCCTTTAAAAAAAAGTAATACATAACAATGGAAAATATAAAGAAGCTCTAACTTCCAAAATTTTCAAGGTCTAACTACCTAACTACAAAATTCACATTTGTCTATCAATATAAAAACTGTATAATGGCAATTCAGGATCCTTAAGAATCCTAATATTATTTCTCTTTCCTGTTGCCAAAAACATTTCACAAACTGCTCAGAGTCCCTCAGGTAAGACTGATGATGTAGAAATGTGATAAATATATAAATTCTACTGCAGCTTTCTGCAGAATGGTCATTGATTTATCTAATGTTATATTGTTTGTAAGCCACCTAAAGTCACTGAGAGTGAGTGGTTGGCCATATAAATCTAATAAATTAAGAAATAATTCCAGAAAATTTCCCCAGGCTGAATTCTATTCTCCCCACTTTTGTTCTCAAGAATTTTCTCAATACCTTTCATTCTAAAGAATTTATTCATGAAACCTTTTGTGTGAAGCATTGCTATATCTTTCTGCCAAGATACATAAATGTTATAGAATAAGATGCAACAGACCACACAGAAGGGAAATGTATACATGCATTTCATCCTTGTGCATTATGTACAGTCACAAGATGCTGGGTAACTACACGTCTCCATTTCTCCAAAAAATTCTAACTAGCATGGATATTTTTAATCATAGCAAGCAAATATTCTAATGGTTAAGGGTTAAATGGATGCTCTACTATTCAGAAAAGATTGTAACAATTAATTATATCAAAAGTTGTGGGGAATTTTACAGTAAAGTATTAAATTTGCAACAGTAACAAAGTACAACACTTAAATAAACCAGAAGTAAGGTATCAAATATGGTATATTAAGTAATAAAAAATGTAACATCAAAAAACTTAGAATTGGAAAATAAAGACATTTCAGATTATTAAAAGTTGATGACTTACACTGATTGAAAAGAGCAGTTTTGCAATACCTATTAACAAGCTATGATTCTTGTGCAAGAGCATATAATGAATCTAGATTAGAAATTTGATAAACAAGTAAGTGAAAATCCATGGTAAATGGTAACAGTGAATTACTTCTGTAATCTTTCCCAGAAAAGCACATGATTCAGTCTTCAGAAGTTGAGCTTGACTAGAGGAATTTTATCTTTTAAGAGCTACTAATCCTATTTGGAGTCGAGGAGGTTACCAGACAGAGAGGTGCTGTTTTACAAAAGGAAAAGAAAACAGACTCTTTTCATGTTCTAAGAGTATGGTAAGAATTTGCAGGAGGGAAATAAATTATATATATATAATTTATTGGTATAATTTTTTGGTATAATTAGGGAATACAGTACTTAGAAGGTTTCTAAAAATTTTCACTGTCACGCTTTCTGCAAGTTTTGGCAGAAGGATGAAAGAAAATAAATTTGCTTTGGGATTTCTTCTGTTTCCAAAAGTTGTCTGGTTGATGCTACAAACAGCCCTCTGGGCAAATTCACCAAACCAGAGACTGAGATAAAGAACAATGCAAAAGAAGGAAAAGGTGACACACAGAGAGGAAACTGGTAGCTGGCTCAGAGCTACATTTTCCCTCTTTCCAAAGCTGAAAGTAGAAATGTTAAGCCGGTGACATGATCCAGATGCAATAGAGAGCACAGCTTTCCAGACAGCATTTTCTTTACCACAAAGCAGAATGACCTAATGTTGTTCTGCTGGCTTCTTCTACCCTTTGTCTGTCCCAGAAAAGAATCAGCCAGACTATTTGTTAAAGTAGTCACAAAGCAGTCAGGCCAAAAAAAAAAAAAAGGGGGGGGGATATGTTGGGATAGCCAGATTGCTTTTGTTAATTTGTTCTAATTACTGCTTTTTAATTAGTCCAGAGGTTAACTGTGTGATGATCACTTAACTTTCCTAAAAGTAAAAAATTATTATTAACAAATATTTTATTAACAAAACAAAGGCAAAGTAGGATACTTAAATCTCCCTCTACATCTGTGACAATTGCATTTCTTGCAATATCAATGAAAAATGTTAAAATGCTTGTCTGATCCAGAGATATAATCCTTTTTGTTTTATACTTATAGGAAATATTTCCAAAGCAGAAAGAAACGTAGTATCAAGGTTCATGACTTAGCATCTGATTTTCCATTTCAGAAGGTTGGCAAGTTGCTATTATATAGCTATATGCATTTAATATTGCAAGTTAAAAGACATGTTGCCAGTCTTTTCTGACTGAAAGGACTAACTTATACAATAAGAATGAGCGAAACAATTCTGAGCTATACAGTTCATACCTTTTAAAGTCTTAATAATCTGTTTGACATCTTCAAGAATATAACAGCAATAGTCTCTGAAAATGTTTTACATCTCTAAGTCCACTAGGGGAAAAAAAAGCTGGCCATAGAAAACAGATTCATTTCTGTTCCTTAAGACCATCAGAAAAGATCCAGCATGATGCAACAAAACTAACAATATTGTGACTTTCCCAATGACTAGAATGTAAAACCCAAACAAGGAATTCTTCTTACCAATCCACATACATAACCACCAAATCTTCTTGATCAGCATACGTCTCCAATGCAGATTTTAACAGACGAACTTTCTGACCTCCACCAATAGAATTTGGTTGCCCTCTTCCTTTCCACTTTTCACCTTTGCCTAAGACCTAAAAAAAGAAATAACATTGTTTTTATTTTCTGTTTTTCTTTATTAAAAATATGTTGCCATAATTTCAGTAGTTAAGAGGAACACGGACAACTGGGCTGGGTCAGATCCATAGCTGCTCTTGTTTTATCCAGTTCTGCTTCAGATTTTTACAAAGGGATCTTTCCTAAACCTGCCAAAAATTGAATGTGTTGAAATCAATCAAGATAAATTTCACACAGTTTTTCAAACTGAGTCAGATGACAAAAATTATACAGTATTTCTACCCATACCTAATTTTTACATTTCTCATAGCCATTTTTTAGTTGTGAACAACAGATTCAATTTTTTTTTTACTATTAATAGTAACATTGAACATGGTTACAGTGTTGAAAGTGGACAAATTCTGAGTTTGGTGCTCTCTGATCTTGATTGTTTGTTTGTAGATATTTTATTACCCAACATCATCAGACTGGTGATATTACTTAAGCAATGAAACATCTAGAAGCAAACAACCAAGATCAGAGGGCACCAGGAATGGTATAGTTCAACCCTCAGGTGTATATATATTTGGTTCTATTGGGGAACAGAAAAATATACTTTGTCTACAAAAAATAACACACACACACACATGCACACACACACACACTATTTTGAATAGAATCTGTAATACAGATAGTCTTTGACTTACAGCCATACATTTAATAATCATTCAAAGTTACAATGGCACTGAAAAAAATGACTTATGACCACTTCTTACACTTATGATCATTCGAGCATTCCCAAAGTCACATTATCAGACTTTACGTGCTTGACATCCAACATGTATTTACAGCATCCCAAGGCCTTGAATTATCATTTCCAACCTTCTTAGGGAATTTCTAATAAATAAAGTCAATGGGGGAAGTCAGGTTAACTACTTAACTACCTCATGATTCACTTAACAACTGTAGTGATTCACTTAATAATCCTTGCAAAAAAGGATGTAGCCTTGGGGCATGACTCAATTGCCTTGCTTAGCAGTGGAAATGTTGGGCTCATTTGTGGTCAAAAGTCAAGGTGTAACTGAATAAGAAAGCTTACCAACTTGGAAAAATAATAATAAAATAATCTCCAATTTCCTTTCTCCAGATCTAAGAAACTTACACTTCTACCCTTATATAACTTACACTTCTACCCTGTACCATCATTCTGTTCATAGTGACCATCTGCCTAGCTCACAAAATATTTGTCTACAAAAATTCATGGAATAGTCTATTCTATTATATAGAATATAATATATTCTATTCTAATAGTTGTAAACTTGCACTAAGATAATGCTGTTGTAACTTCACGTTAAAGAAAAAATGGGGTGAATTACTACAGGGTTAAAAATATTATCTCATATTTGATAACTGGTGTCATTGGTTTCTGTAGTTTGGGATACAGAAAATTTATGAGTAGTGAAATGCTGACTTAATACGGATTAACATTAGAGGACATGATATTTGAAAGAGTGTATATATGCATAATAGGCTTCACTTTAACTTTTCTTTTTCTTTTTTGACTCCACTTGTGTTAAAAGAACTGATTGATATTCATTAACTTTTACAACATATGCTTGGAATTAAAATATCAGAAGAACCAAAAGTTAAGGGTAGACTTGGGAAAACTGCTCCTCTCTGTGCAAATCAGGAAAAACTGTGCAAATCATGAAAAACTCTGCAAATTAGGAAAAACTGTGCAAATCAGGAAAAAACTTCTAGTGCTTTATCTCTATCCCTTTCCATTGGACTAATTGGACTAATGCCTAAAATATGCTTTTACACTATTGTAGCTAAAGTACTTTCATAATACTAAGTTGCAGAATGTTCCATGAGTTTTGCATGATCTGATATTTACTGAAGTAGCTGGTTGGGAAGTTCCAAAAAATTGAGCAGAAATCAAGGTTTTAACAGGTGCAAAACATTAGAACAAACATGGTCTTTCTGTCTTCTTTAGTCCTTTTGATAGTGATTACAAAGCTTTTTTCTCAAGCCGGTAACTTATGATAAACTTGAAAAATGGGAGAAAGCTCATACCTGATTGTCCTAATTTCCAATCAGTATTTAGGTTAGTATGAAAAGTAAATTTGATTGTTTTTTAAGACCTTATAAACTAGCTACAAAACACTCAACAGAATCTAAATATTTTAGGTGAATCATTTTTTATTTGCATAGATGAACTCTGTTCTTTCCTTCTTAAATATGTTATGTTTTCTCCTTTTTAAAGAGATACAATGTGAAAATAGGTGGCACATGTATAGGCATCTTCCACTTGATCAGTTATTGCTTATTTTAAAGTTACTAAACCATAACTGTGTTTGTAGTCTTTTAAGCATACAATTTCAAAACATATGCCTAGGCTGTTCATAAAAAAGAGTTTACTGGCAACATAACACAAAACATAATCCAGTTTCAACTCCAAATTTTCAGTATGTCCTCAATACTAATTGGATAAAAAAGTTTTTGTCTTACATCAAAGGATATCTGATACATCATAGATTATGTCCTGAATATCTTGGTAATATTCAATTTTAAATGATGGTGTTAAAACTATAGAGGCCATTACTGAGGTGGCGCAGCAGTTAGAGTACAGTACTACAGGCCACTTTAGCTGACTGTGTTCAGCAGGTCAGTGGTTCAAATCTCACCGGCTCAAGGTTGACTCAGCCTTCCATCCTTCCGGGGTAGGTAAAATGAGGACCCAGATTGTTGGGGGCAATGTAAATATATATATATACATTGCTTACTGGTGTACACCGCTTAGAGAGTGCTTGCACTTAAAGCGGTATATAAGTCTCATAAATAAATAAATAAATACCTGTATATTCGTATTGACTAAATCAGAAAAACAAGTATCTCACTGAATCCAGGAGCCAGAATAAAATCATCAAACTACAAATAAATTGTACTGAGATGGCAAGGGGTGATATTGTTAATATGAAATTATGGAATAAAAGGGAATATTTTTGAATCATAACAGATGCAAGCACCATGAAGATAATTGAATGGAAACCCAAAAAGGTAATATTTACAGACTGTTAAAAATCTTGCCAGCCTTTCAGTCTATAACTCTATGAAACTGTCTCCTAAAATGAGTAAAAGACTGCATCTGAAAGATTAAGAGCTAGGCAACACTAACAAAGTGCTATTGGAGGGAATATTATTGAGCTGGCAAACACATGCAGGATATGGCAACAGAAAGATTTTCTGATTTCATTCTGTTTTTATTTTAGCATAGTATAACCTAATTTATAAATGTCCCATATATGTATGTCCACAGAGTGAAAATTGTCTGCAACATCATGAAATGGCAAATGAACACACAATACCTTTACTGTGTAGTTGAAGTGATTTGCTGATTGCATAAATCGGTGGAAGCCATCTGTTTCCTTCGTTGCGATAGTTAGAATTAAAAGCTTATCTAGTGAAGGAAAAAAGAGAAGATATTTGTTCCTGACTGATGAAATAAGAGAGCTCTGAAAAATAAGGAACAATTGTGAAGTTGGCTAAACTCATCCAACATCTCATAATAAATCAAATCTTCATTTCACCTTAAATCATAACAGTAAACTAAGTTAATTTGTTTCATCAGAACCTCAGAATTTAAGAAGTTTACATAAACTTAGCTGTCAAAAACAGCATAAAAGAATACTGTTGAATGGAAATATGATACTATCCATTACTATCTAAATGATAGTTTTATTTAATTATTCAACTTTATAATTAGAATGAAATGCAATTCATCAACAAACTTCATTTTAAAGATTAGAATGAAAACTGTCACATCTATTTCAAAAGCTGGCTTATAGAAAACATCTGTCTAAATGAATTGTTAGTGTCCAATTACATGGGATGGGAACCATTACAAGTTCAGGCCAGATTTACAACTTGGCCTCTACAGGTACTATTGCTAACCAATATGCTTCAAAATGTTCATATTCAGAATAAAAACTTGTATAGCACAAATGAGAAAATCCATTCTGAGTGGTTTCAATTTGAATGTTACTGACAATTAGTCAGTAATGGATTTCTACCTCAGAGTATTCTAAATGCCTCACCATTAGTACTAATTATAGAGAGCCAATTTGATGTAATTATTAAGGTATTAAGCTAGAAATCAGGAGACCCTGAATTCTAGTCCCACTTTTGGCAAAAGCCAGCTCAGTGACCTTGGACCAGTCACTTTCTTTTATTTCTAGAGAGGAAAAAATGGCAAACCATTCTTGAACCATTTTGCCAAGAAGATGTCTAGGCAATCGGACACAATTGAACAAAAGGGGGAAAAAACAGTACTAGTTATATTTCAGTATAGGGAAAATATTTGTTAGATATGGTATTAATTATAGGTATTGTTACTATTTTTAAAAAAGTACTAGTGAATTTAAAATTGCAGTATAATTTTTAACAACTCCCCTTGTGAACCATAGAACACAATGATGAACCTACTATTTTTTTTCTTTGTTTACAGAGCAAGAATTATGAAGCTTGTGAAAGAGAAAATAGAAGTATAGTATGCTAGAAAATGAGATTGCGTATGACTAAGTAAGACAAATCAAATCTCTCAGCAGCAATAAAATTACTTCTATTCCATTTTGAATAACATTGTGGAAATGATGAAACTTTGATATATTGTATGCACGACTTTTGTTTGGAGAGATTATAAATTCAATTCATTTCTGGTATTCTAATAAATTCATGATCTTAAGATTTACACTAGATTCTAATTAAATCATCATTATCCCCTTGCAAGTCAAAAATCTGCTTATTCCTTTTTTATCTTACCAATAGTCTTCCAAATATTCTCCTTTCTCGGGAATTAAGAAGCAAAGGGGTCCAAGTGTGAGATACAAATAAGAGGTGTGCTTTTTGCAACCATATGAACACCCCTTTGTTCTAATCACTTCATAGCAAAAATGTCTAAATGTTTACAAATATTCTATCCCAATCAGAATATCACACAGGGAAATTTATAAATTAATATTTAACTATAATGTTTTTAGTTTTATTCCTTTCTATTTCACTCTCAGCCCAGCCCACCCGAGTGGGAAAATAGCAGGAAGAAGGAATACTTGGTACATTGTCCTCGTGGTGCGATTCAAATAATTTAACTGGTTCTGTTAGTCGTCATCTCCAGCATTACATGCCTCGCATATTCATCATCACTACATTGTCATCATCACTGGCACAATGCATGTCGCATTGACATTATCACAGGCACGACATGCATCGCACTGATGTCATCACCGGCATGACACGCCTTGCGGCATCGGCATCACCAGCGTAACACACCTTGTAGTGGTGGTGTCACCAGCGCAACACTCCTCACAGATTTATTGTAACCAGTTCACCAAACTCAAAGTTAGGTATCGGTTCTGCTGAACCCGTGCAAACCGGCTAAATCCCACCACTGATTGTCCCCTTCAGCTACTTTGAAGTACTAAAGTCAGGATAAAAATCTAATAATAATTAAAGTAATAAGTTCTGTTTATGTGTCAAAAGTAATTCAAAAGTGCACAGGAATAGATGTTCTGCTTTTAAAAGCACCATATCTTTCCTCTTGTTTCTACTCAAATCTGAAAAAAAAAACAGAAAAACTAATCTGCTTTAAGGAGTCAAATGAATGAAGCATTTATTTTTTTCATTTACATGGACATGTTAAAAAAGATATGGTTGCTTTAAAGAGATGCTGTTCTTTTTTAATATTATTTTGAATGCACACACAACTTTACAAAAGGACTTCAAATATTTTGATCATGATATGGATTTTTAAGATTACAAGGAATAAAGCAGGAAAAGACTATCTGGTTATATATTAAATTCAACTATGAAGATCTTACTTGTTCATCAAGACTTCTGAAGCTAAAAATATTGTCAGTTTATAGTTTATTAAATTTCTTCTTGTGACTTAATACCTACTCCATTTCAACTTTTTTTTAAAAAAAGCAAGTATGACTGCATTTTAAGTTTATATTGCTCATTGTGTGAGAAGGGTTAATTTAATTTCTATTATTTATGTCAGCTTGCAAAATTTGTATTTTGAGAGACAACAAAAAATTGCTAAATAAACAAACAACATTCTCCTATATGAAATTAATTTAATCACATGTTGCATCAAGCATTAATGCGGTTGCTTGGCTTTATTTAGAACCATGTGTGACCCGGGCTACTATGATTTGTTCACCAAATTATGATTAAGCAAATTTCAGCTTTTGCAATTTACAAAGCCACCCTCTGGGAGTGACAAAACAGCAATTATATATTAGGATTTATTAACTCTTAGTGAAAGTTGGCAGGCAAAAAAGAATCAATTTCAACAGGAATATAAAATTCAAATCATCTGGATAAAATTCTATTGCCTTGAATATAACTTGGTCAGCAAACCTCTGAGGATAAATTCTGGAAAGGCAATATACTTTATACTACTTGAAACAATGATGAACGAAAATCAATTTTCTACTTTATTGGAAACATTCTTACTCTGCAAAAAGGTTTTATTTTTCTATGTTATTCTCAAAGTGTTTCAGAATTTTTTAAAACATTTTTGGTGGATTTATTTTATTTTTATTGTTATAAACTATAGAGGATTCAGAAAAATGTTTAGCACAAAGCTAATATTAAATATATTCAGAATTCTAGTATATTGTCATTTTATGACTTAGGTAATACATTAATTAACTACTGTCCCCACTTCTATCTCCTCACTTCCACAAAATACTCCAAACACAATAAACCATTTACTTAAATTAGTCTTTGGACTAGTATAAAGTCCATTTCCAATAAGTATGGATTATTTTACATTATTTTAACAAGGTAAGATTATTGTATGTATAAATCTCGTGCTAAAATTAAGTATCAATTAGTTAATTTTTTAACATTGCTAGTCATTTCAAGGAGAGGAACCTATTTCTTTCTTTAAGAAAGAATCCTTAGCTTTTTTTCACAATTGTCCATATTGGCTGAAGTTGTTGGGAACTGAAATTGAGCAATATCTGTAGGGTCAGAATTGCCAAATTCCCATTGGTACAAACACAAGCTAAAATATGGCTAATTTCATAAAAATGTGAGAGCAAGGTGCTAAAAGTAGGCATTCTCTTGAAAAGTTATATAAACAGTTTGACCAAGAACATTCTATATTGACTTTATCCATTCTTTTGCCCTTCTGTTATGTTGGATTCTAAGCCTCATCATGGTGTCTGAAGATGATGGGAACTGCAGCACAACGAAGGCTAGAAGCTACCAAGACAGGCTGTCCTCTATGACTATACTCAGCAGCCCATGTGTCTATAACACTTTTCCCCTGAACTATTTACAAATGTAGGTATGGATTATGTTCCTACAAGTTTATTTTTATCCATCTAAGTCATCTACTTAATAGTAATTTTAATAGTAATTTTAGTAAAGGTTATGAAGGGTTATAGTTAAATATATAAAAAATAATAATACAAACTAAAATATGAAAGAAAAAAGAAAAATGCATAAAAGAAAATGCAAAAAACAGAAAAAATAAAAAATAAGAGTATAGCAAAGGAAAAAGAAATATATAAATGAATAACTTCACCCTTCATCATTTTAGTAACTTATTATCTTTTCTTAAAATATAACTAATGATTTCTTCTTCCCATATCCTGCCTCATATCTATAAATAAACCCTTTTAAAAAATCAGTTTGGTTTAATGGTTAAACCAAGAGATTGTGAGTTCTAATCTTGCCTTAGGCACCAAAGCCAGCTGGGTTAACTTGAACCAATCACTCTCTTAACCCAACTCACCTCACAGGGCTGTTGTGGAGAAAATGGCAGGAGGAAGATGTATTAGGTATGTTCACTGCCTTGAGTTATTTATAAAATTAATAAATAGAAATAAATAAAATAAATAAAGCCTCATTGATAAGCAAAGGGCTACAAGAGATAACATATCTACTTCAACCTTGGTCAAATAAAGCAACATTATATTCATTTCTTTTCCTTTTAACAATCTTGACCTTTGAATTTGAAAGAAAGCTTTTTCAAATAATGTCCTGGTTTCTTTTTATTTTTTCTTCTCACAAAATTCTTCAAAGCTTTAAGATTTTTTTTGTCAATTCAATATAGAAAAATTATAGAAGTCACATAATTCCCATTTAGCATCTCTTTCCATATCGTTCTTGTAGTCTGCCATTTCTAAATCAAGCTCAGTCTTGTCAGAAACAAACCTGTTCCTCTTCCATAACTTTTTTTAAATGCAGAGGCAGAGACTTTTAAAATTAATTTCTGGGTCCATTATTCAAACATATCCTTGAATATGAGAATGTTAAAATACTTTGCTTCTTTCTATATAAGCTTGTCTAGTTTTTACTTCATTCTGGTTCCCTGTAAGTGTTCAACCTTCAAATTCTCATCCTTTATTTTTAAGGGAAATCAAAACAAAAGCATTTTCCCATTAT